CCCCCCCCCCCCACTCCTCTCAGAAAAAAAGAGAGTAGTCAAGGAATGACTCAATCTTCTCTTCTCCCTTTGTTTACTTGTAGGGGAACATTCATTGAATTCCGTAGTGGCATGCTCAATGTGTCTCCAATTGGTAGGAATTGTAGCCAGGAGGAGCGTGATGAGTTTGAAAAATATGATAAGGTGCTCTGAGTTTGTCATCTACTCATCTCTTATCTGTAATATATAGCCTCACATCTATCATATCACTAGTAGAACCTTATGGGGTTATTGTATAGCCTCACATCCATATTAGTAACGAAGAAATTTATTATTGGTATGATTTGACTCATTGGTGAAACATGCTCTCAGGTTCACAAGATTCGCGAAAAAATGGTATCAATCCTTCGTGAGAAATTTGCACACCATGACCTAACATTTTCTATCGGGGGCCAAATTAGTTTCGATGTAAACACTTGTGATTATTGATCATGCTTCAGTCCATTATAAGTAAGATTTGGAAGTTGATATTTCAACAATTTGTTTGTTCCACAGGTTTTTCCTCGTGGATGGGACAAGACATATTGTTTGAGATACCTTGATGAGTTTAATGAAATTCATTTTTTCGGAGACAAAACATACAAGGTACTGGTTAATAGCATATCATTCAGCCAATTAGTACTACGGCCAAAAAATTCATTCCCTGCCACAACAATTAATGATACTCCGTATAAAATTGTTCAAAGTTATTCAAGGGGTGCTTTTTCTTCACCCCCATTTTTATCTTAATGTTGAACACGAGCTTTCAACTTGGTGTGCACAGGGTGGAAATGACTATGAGATTTTTGAATCTGAGAGAACTGTGGGCCACACAGGTTAGCCACCCATGAGTTTCTCTTTTATTACTCCCTTTGTCCAGTAAAAGTTCAAAATTTCATTTTTTTTTGTTTATCCCTAAATTAAATTCCACTTTCCTTTCAAAATTTTGTTTCCATCATTTCTCTATCCTTTGCATGACTCTCGACAACTCGACTTCATATTATTATTTGGGGAAATTTATATTGATTTTTTTTGGGTTGATTTATCAGTGAGTAGCCCAGATGATACAAAAGAGAAATGCAGGGAGATTTTTCTTACCACAAAAGGGGAGGAGTAGATACTACATACGCATCTCATATTGGTTTGTATTCCATCAGCGCTGTCATATGTTTCGGATGAATGTAAAAGCAAACGTTGTGTTGTCATTTGTTGTTTGTGCTAAATTTTTACGAGTAATAAAAAGCTCTTCATGTCTTATCATTTGTACCCCATTCCATATTTTCTTTTTAATGGAAGTTTAAAAACACAATGGGTAATATTTTATGCAGAAGAAAGAGTCTCACACAATTCTTTTCTTAAAAAGAACGAGAAGTTTTGATTGAGACATAGAACTTGATTAATAGAGGGACACACGAAGTGGGATTATAAATATGCAAAAGAAATGAAAACTTTGGGCATCAATGGAGAAAAATTAAATCATCTCAAAGCAGCCAATTTTTACATCTGATGAACAACAATTCAGAAGAGCACAAAGCACTTGGAAACTCTTGAGATTTGGTGGGGCTATAGAAACTATTCACTGGAACAAAGATCTTCACATCTACCAAAGGAAAAGCACAGCACAAGAATCCCCAGAACACAGAGCAAACAAACAAGAAGAGAAGAATGAACCCATTTTCACCTGCAATCAAGCTCACCTCTGCATAAGCATGAACTGCAAAAAGATCAAGTTCTCGACTCAATCGCCTTCGGACGTTTCTTCGAGTTATTCTTGGGCCGAACCTTGGCGAACGCCTGCTCCAAATCCTTGTCCTGGTCGCACCACCCTTCACCGCCGGACGCATCCGTGGCCCACAGGCTCTCCAAGTTGTAATAAGATCTCACCTTCTCATCAAGGGCGTGCACAATCACCGACCCGGAATCGATCACAATCCAATTCCCTCCTTCCTCCCCTTCCACGCTTGGCAGCAGCATCCTCGCCGCGCCCTTCTGCTTCTGCTTGACCTTGTAGATCAGAGCCTGAGCAATGTTCCTCACGTGCCACGCCGATCTTCCGGTCGCGACGACCATGTAATCCGATAACAACTCGTCGCGTCTCGGGATGCGTATGACTTGGACGTTGTCCGCCTTGACGTCGCTGAGGATCTTCTCCACCTCATCCAGTTTCAGCAACTCAATGTCCGCGGCGGAGGAATGGAGGGACCGGTTGAGGAGGGATGGGGAAAACCCTAGCTGCTTCGAAGGGGGCGAAACGATTCGGGATCTCAGGACCGACCACATTGCACTCTGCTACCACCTTCACTGCGAGAGAAGAGTAAGGGCCGTTGTTTAATCATCTAGGAGTATATTTTTTTTTCTTTGAAGAAAGGCATTGGCATTCTAGGGTTTTTTAGCACTTCAAAATGAAGAAATTTACACTGATGATCCGTTCGGAAATCAGGAAATCTGAAAACTGTTTATTTCTATTTGCTTCATTTCCAAAAAATAAGATGGATATTCAAATGATAAAAATGCGAGTAACAAAATCAACTTCTGAAGAACCGATGTCTCGTTAAAAAACCCTAATTCGGAAATTGATGAGAAGAAAAAGGGGGATAATAACCTTAGAACCTTGAATTATATTGCAGACGACGATGGCGGAATGGAGAGGCGAAGAAGGAAGATGAATGAAACCCTCCCTAGCTGACGAAGTCGACGTGAAGGAGAGAGGGACGTAAGGGAGGAAGCCAGCGGAGCACAAAACAAATGCTTCTGTGTGGGATAGAGAAAGCAAGCAAGGCAGGCTAGGTAGGAAACAATCCGGAAATGGACAGCTAAAAGATAAATGGAAAAATTATCAAAAAAAAATAAAATAATAAATTTACCAAGTCTTTTAAAAATAATTTAAGATTTCAATGTCATAGATAATAATCCAACTTTTCTGAAATTTGTAAGTTTTGGATCGTCATTAAAGGCCTGTTTGGGAAGAGCTTTTTAGGGAAAAAATGCTAAAAATAAATAAAATTGTGTTTGTCTTGCGTTAAAAGAGTCCTGCGTTTTGGTTCTAACTCCTTCGCCTATTTTCTCGCCAGCTTAACGCAGAACGCACAATAAAATAAAAGTTAGAATTATTTTTGATGAATTTTTATTTTTTAACTTTTTTTGAAATTCTCATTTAAATTTTTAAAATTACTTTATATCTCTATTTCTTTTTCGTTTTCTAAAGATTAGTCTTACCTTAAAAAAATAAGTAGAAAAAAATAACGAAATTAAGAAAAATAAATAAAATCATGCAAAATTAATGAAATAAATAAGGTAATCAATAGAAATTAAACTAAAAATGTTAAGAAATAAAATAAATATATATATAGAGTGGTGAGTTTAAATGTAGACCTAGGGACCATGTAAGCATCACTCAAACACGATACTCCCATTGTGCGAAAATAGTTTTTCTATTTGACTTTTCTTGATCAAAGATGGTAAATTTTAACCTCAATATATGAAAAAATATGTTGTGTTTTGATATAAATATAATATCAATAGACTTCAAAAAATATATAATATCAATAATTTTTTATGAAACATAATTTTGAAATATTAAATTTTCATAAAATATATCCATGTATATATGTAGATATTAATAATCAAAATGTTACATTAAAAACCGTAAAAAGTCAAATATAAATATCATTTCCAGATAGAGGGAGTATTAAATAATCTTTTTATTTTATGAAATGATCAACGAAAATATGTTTTAAAAAAATATAATCTCACTATTTGAATAGTACGGAGTAATGTAGAATTTTCCTAGAACAATAATGTCAATCTATATATAAAGTGATAAATTCAAAAGTATAAATAGTTAAATGAAAAAATACTACTCCGTATAAGAAATTACTCTATTTAGAAAGTAAACACTAAGAAACAGAAAGACAAATTCTTAAGTGGTCCTGAAGTTAATGTTCATTTTAAAAACCTTAATATATTAATATCATAAAAGAATTGAGCCTTTTACAAATAAAAAAAGATCTACTTGCCAATCTATGAAAAATATGAGAAAACCCACTTCTACATGTAAACCTTAAGACTATAGAAGAACAACTCAAAAAGAGATGGTGTGATCAATAAATTGTCAATGTGAATTACTCGGTACACAACAAAAATGACTTAATAGGATAGGAGTGCTATTCATTATCAACTACTAATGTAAAATAAGAATATTTTTAATTAAGGCAACCATTCATTCCATACATCCCTTCTTAATCTCTTTATTTATACTTCCTCTGTCCCAAATTATAGTGTCTGTTCATTATTCACATGGTCAAACTTCAATCACTTTCTTTGTCTATCTTTGTTAACAATTTGATAAATAAAGTACTATTGTGACTACTAGTTTTGTAGATCTTTTGATGTAGTATTTTAATATGTAATTTTTATTTTTTAACTCTATACCATTTGTCATATAAAATGATTTCGAAATAATTTCAGTTAAAAATCGTAAACCAAAACAGGCACTATAAATTTGGACGGTGGGAGTACTATTTACAAGGTTAAACTATACCCGGATTGTTTTTTTCTATACATATTTTAATTGATCACTAGTTTCATAACACCCTTATTGGAATGAGCAAGATGTTTTGATTCATACTACTATTATCACACAAAAATCTTTAGAGCTGATCATCTTTCTGTACTAGAGTATATAATACGTACTCCCTCCGTCCGGAAATATTCTTCCCATTTTCTTTTTTGGTCCGTCCGGAAATAATCTTTCCATTTCCTTTTTTAGTATGGTTTTTAAGGCTAAATATCAATAATACCCTTCTATTTTATCACAAATCTACTTTTTTAATACTTTTTTAATAATAAAAGGAGATTTAAAAGTTTATAGTTTGTGCATTTTTGAAAATTTTGAATTTTTTTTACTATTTCTTAATAAGCGTGCCAAGTCAATACGGGAAGAACATTTCCGGACGGAGGGAGTAGTTAGTTGTAAAGGACATCATGGAATGGAACTACACTGTACGTAAGATTGGGAGACTACAAAATTAAAGAGTGCCCCAAACCCCATACATAAAAAATTCGCTGCTGCTTTACTGTACATATATAGCATGGGAGAGACAAGTAGAGTATACCGCGCTCTACAGGGGTGGGGGTGGGGGGGGGTTCATTTTCTTTTCTGTCCACTGAATGAACGTGACTGACGACTATGCAGAAAATGTGGTTAAATTGCCAGTGTACCTTCCGTCTCATCTGAAAAGTCCAACGGCTGTGATTTGGGTTTATTTACAATTCGAGAGAATCCATAACCGAGCGAGCTTCCGGAGGTTTGACATAACTGGAGAATAAATAATTTGCAGGTATAGATAGATGGAATAACTCGTTCAACGTAAAAAATCAAGCGGTCAAAACATTGTCGTACCTCGGTTAGCTCAGATAGATGTCGCGACCGAAACTCGTTGATAGTCGTTGCTATCTCTGACATTGGCAGTTTAGCCTTCAACCGATAAAAAAATGTTGAAATCTCATGCCAATGAAGCATAAACAATACTTTTATCATAAAAAATAAGCACAAATAAATAGTCACTTTTTTCTTAACAAAGTGCCAAAGTATATGGTCAAGAGTGTGGTTATGGGTAGAATGGAATCTGCAAGACAGATTTTTTGTGAATAACCGGATGTGTTTCTCTTCTTGGTTCATGTAGGTTACCCCAAGTTACTTAAGATAAGGGTTAGTTGTTGAAAGGTGTGAAGTATCACTTGTATAAATTAAAGTATTGAATTTATGTCCAAATGCATTACTTTTGGACAGAAAAATTTTTCATTCCATGGTTGTCTACAAGAGACCGACCCGGCGTGAAAAGGGGCAACTCTTTAAATCCAGAGAGAGATAGGGGGAGGGGGCATATATCAAGCAACTCAAATGAAAAAAGATCGGTTTGCAACTGCTTACTTGTGCAAGTACTGCAGCAGCCAACTGTAGACTTGGTTCCAATGTCTCTGGCACAACCTAAAGAAAAATTAAATAGCACAAGACCTGTGTGAATTGTGGCATAAAACCAACAAGGAGCCTGTTTTCTTCTCACTACTTATTGGTGTCAGTTGAATTTAGCAAAAGATTAAATCTTTTTAGTGCAAAAACCATAGCAATAAGAAGCAAAGCCTGTTAACTCAAAAAATGGCTGAATAAGAGAATTATCATTCAAACCAGAACAGTTGAAAAAGAAATATACCGCCGTTGCTCCAGCCTTTTCCAAGTTGAGACCATGATCAACATCATGAGCACGTACAAATGTCTTTACATTGGGAAAGTACTTGTTCAGTGCCCAGACAGTTCTGTAATTCGCACCAGGACTATCCAATGTTATTGCAGCAGCACAAGCTCTCTCTGCACCAACTTTATGAAGTACCTATGACGAAATATAATGATATTTGTAGAAGTTATCATTTTTCACAATGCCTTTCATTATACTCCCTATTAACTTTTACCTCTCGACTACCAGCATCACCAAAGTATACAGGAAGATCAAGTGCTCGCCCAATTGCGACTCGGTCACTGAAAAGTAGAAGTTTAAACATACATAATTGAAATTCCCAATAAACCATTTGCAAGTAGTCTAATGACCAGTATTATCTAATGTAAGAACTACTGTATTATACAACAGATAATCGGTATTGGTGGAATCCACAAGCAATGTTTTGCCAGCTGCTGACTTTTATTCACCGGAATCATGTTTGTTAAGAAAAAAAAAATTGCTCGATGAGAAGAAAGCAATAAAAAAATGCTAGTATTTGACTACAAGTGAATAAACAACTATAAGTTTGCATCACAAGGATAAGCAAAACTAAAGTGGTTGTTTATTTTCTTTTGATATAATCATACACATTATTTACAATTTTCAAAATAATTCTATGCAAGAAATAGATATCCATCGGCGAAAGTCGGTTAACAAATGGATTGAATCATTTTTATTTACTGAATCGTAAGTAGATTGGATGGATCATAACAGCTTTAATGAATTTTTTCATACATGTATTTGACCAGCTAATGACGATAAGCATCTAAAATCAAACCAAACATACTCAGTATGTCAGACTTATAAGATATGGTGTGGGCAAGATGTACACATGTATCTCAACACTTAAAACTAGGAGCAAAGAGTTGTTTGTGTGAATAGTTTTTAAATAGTTGTGCTATGGTGGTCCTAAGGTCGACAAGTGAAATGTGGACCTTCTCACATATTTTCATTGGCTCATAATTGAATATCTTTCATTTTACAAGGCCCAACACATATAATCATTTTAGGTATTAAGGTCCATAAATAAGCATGCACCCAAGGACCACAAAAGAATTTTCCGGTTTCATAAGCAAGCAAACTGAATAGTGAAAATATAAATTTGACATTTTTTAAAATAAACAATTTTATTAATACCTTCTAAAATCAAGTGCGACAAATGGAATCAGACGTTCAGACAAAAGCTGAGCAATGATCTGCAACGATCAATGACCATATGGAAAAAAACAAGTTAGAACTGGAAGAGGCCTAGCTAGGTCCGTATTTAAGCTTAGAAAATTCATGAACTAAAGGGCGAAAGTTCAACACCTGGCCTACACGTCCAAATCCACAAATAATAATATGATCTTGGAGATCATCTGTCTGAAAAATACAAAGAAAAATTTCAAGCAGAATAACATTACTCATGCACACTATGATCATATTCTTAAATGAATAACAGAACTATGAGAACGAAATGCAAAGAAAAAGATCAGTTCAACTACTAAATGGTTTATATGGTTCACCTCACTTTCTACAGGTAACAAACTTTGCACATCATGAAGCTCAAAACGAGATGCTATTAATTGACCACCAGCAGCCAGCCATGGTGTTATTGCCATTGAAATACCCACCACAAGAAATAACAGTGATGAGAGCCGGGGAGACATTATTCCCTGAAGGCAACAAAACCAGCAACTTTCATCATTAGTAAACACAAATACGAATTAAATAATGAATAAAGAGATTATTTATATTCTTGTTAAATTATGCACTACCCTTAATAGCTTGACAGATTATTTACATTCTCGTTATAAAAACAAATACGAATCAATTAATGACTAAAGAGAACCTGGTTAACTGCTTCTCCAAAGGCAACAAACGCAAACTCTCCACCTGGAGCCAGTAGAAGACCTACTCTTATTGCAGATACAATTGAAATTCCAAAAACCCGGCCAATTAAAGCAACCAATATTGTTTTTCCACCAACTAGAAGTCCTATTGATCCCATTATAGCTGGGAAGTTTGAAACGAGAAGTTTGGGATCAATGGACATTCCCACCTAGACACAAAATAAGAAATTGTTGTTATGAAGCCAATGTTCACACCATTGGAAGAGTAAAAATATATTTAGCTAAGATATTAGCTGGTTGAATTATATACTCGTGCCACATATTGCAACGGAAAGAAAAGAATAGTGGCAGAAAAATGAGATTTCGTTGGATAATTTGGATGTAATAATTACAACAAGAAAGAAGGTGTTTGAAGTGAAAATGCTTGTAACATAGACCTTAATTAGTTGTTTGAAGTATAATATGTTAGTTTCAATACATTTGACAATATCCATACACTGATACACCTACACAGATAAATGGAGTATTCACACACATGTTTACAGTCATATAAATGAGCTTTTAATAAATACAAGCAAGGAAAACTGATAAAAATTTAAAAATATCGGGACAATCTAGAATTGAATTGTTATACCCGAGCCTAGCCCCATGAAACTCTCACTCACGCCTTACACTATCATAAGAACCAAAGGACTTATATTCAAATATTATGATCCATTTTAGTTGAATTCAAATGGTCCTTAAACCCGAAAGGCCAAGACAACCTCTGTTTGACCCGAGGGTTCTGTGGTCTACTCCCATTTCAGTCCAAACCATCCCAA